AGCAACAACAACACTCCTTAAACTTCAGTTTGATTTTAATTTCATCAGCAGCGTATTAAATATCGGTATGTACACGTTTGAAAGTTACATAGAAAAAATATAGTATTACAGTAGGCCTGTTTGTTAGTAGCGTGTTACACAGTTACCTCCTTGGCAGGTATTGGCCTCCTCTGAACTACATGAAATACTCATCTTTTATCTTTGAAGAAGCCTTTGTCCGTGCTGCTCTCTCTGACGGTGACTGTCAGGAAGTTCAAGGTGACATCGGTTACGGTCACAGTGTCCAGGTGAGCGAAACAGGGGGTCCAGGATGAGGCTGGGTGCTCGGAGGATTCGTGGATGGAATCGGTGTGTGAAGGTGAAGCTTGTTCCCGGGGCAGAGAGTTCTCGTTCGCTGCAGGCCGCTTCATGCTCAAACAGTGAGTCCTGTGCCTCCCCTGCTCGCTTTTGCGCAAATCCGAAGCTAATGCGCATGGGTAAGAGAAGCCCGCGCCCCCTAAATGTCTCTGCTCGCTGTGGGATTTGGGTGTTATCGTGGTTTCCTCCTGAAACCTCTTGGTCAACTGCATGAGGCAGTGATCTGACGTCTCTCCGTGATGATGCGGGCGTCGGCTGTGGTGAGACGTGGGCTCCTTCGTGAACTTGCTACGTTTGGAGTCCGGCTCTGCTGAGCTGCTGCCGTCGTCTTTATCATAATGCATGTGCATTTTGGGTTTGCGTCCTCTCTTTTTGGGGAACTGCTGAGCAGCTGCTGGAGTTGTTCTGGGCCTTCTCTCCGACTCTGGTGGGCGAATGTGGACACTTTCCCCTCTATTGACCGCGCTGGGCGGGAAGATTGTGGGAACCACGGTGCGCAAACCCTCCCTGGCCCTCATACGTCTTTTCTTTGGCTTTGGCCTGAGGAAGCAAAAAGAAGAAAAAAAAAAAAAAAAAAAGAGAAGAGAAGAGAAGAGAAGAGAAGAGAAGAGAAGAGAAGAGAAGAGAAGAGAAGAAAAAAACCCATCGTGGCCATTTGTAACGAAAAGTTTCCCAGAATTGAAAATTTTAAGTCTCTTGAGCAAATGTAAAGTTTTAGAGGCCTTGACCTAAAGTTTCTGTTATTTAAAGGGAATGAAAGGCTGTAAGAATGAAAATACTGTTAATATTCACATGTAAAGTTACGTAAAGTTCTTTGTCCAACATTGCATGACCAGAAACCCTTGAGAAAAGAGATCTTTGCAGATCTTTTTTCAAACTTACAATTGTTTTCAAAAAAGTGAAACCACAGCAGAGTGGCATCAAAGTTTACAGGAGTGCACACATCACTGAAATGGTTCAGCCTGTGTACACATGAAGCCACGCCTCGGAAAGATAAGCGAATAAAACGGAATACCCAGAAATAAATACAAACACTCACCTTTAAAAGAAATGTCTCAGGCTTGGGTCCCCTCTTTTTCGGCCCGAACATCTCCCTTTCTCGCTCCCTGAAGAATTTTTATAAATCGTTAAAAGAGTCCGCGCGACACAATAAACAATTATTTTTCATTAAGTCAATGATTAAATTGGAACATCTCATTTTACTGGACTATGGGCTGAAATTCAACCAGCTTCCATTAGCTTTCACTTGTAAGCTAAATACAAATCGAATAAAGCAAAAATATATATGCATCTGTTTGGGATTTATTTATTTATTTTAAATGGGCGACATCACAAGCAGCACAGCATCCTATCAGAGTTTATCCTGAGAAGATATGAGAGAAAACAACATGTCAGGAACTTTGAAACTTTGAGTTGCTATAGAGTTATTTAAAATAATGCACACAAACGCTTACATACTCTGTCTTTAATAATAATAACAATAATATTAATAATAAAATATTTTTTAAATGGCTTTCTTTCTGCTTGGACAGATCAGCCATTTATTTATTCATTATTTAATTTTAAATAATTACTTATTGAGAACATAAAATCATTTCCAGTTATTAAAGAAATTATCAGAAAAAAATGCAGAAATTGTTGGCTTTATTATTATTATTATTATTATTATTGTTATTATTATTATTATTATTATTACATTTTCTGGAATATCTTTGATATTTTTTAATGCGATTGTAACATTTATTCTGAGTATTCATTACTGGGGCAGTGCTGTGCCTTCCAGTTGTATTTTCTGTGGGGCTCAGGTATGTTCGTTAAAATAATGCATGAAAGTAAAATTAAATAAAATAATAATATTAATAATAATGTATTTGGGCTTCTCTTGAATGAGTGGGTTTTTATTCTTAAACAGTCCTTATCACAGTGAATTGTTAGGCCATCCACGCGTGTCTTTCTGCTGTCAGTCAGAAAGGTTTCCAGATTTGAAATGTATTCCGTGCAGTTTATTTCACGTTGCTCTGAACAGCAAAAACACGAGGACGTTGCTTGAAATGCGCAATTTTCGTTCCAACATTCTGCGACTTTTTTCCTCCTAAAGTTTATGACAAACAGGCAAAGCTGCACAACCTGCTCAGAGTGCGAGAGTGTATCAGTTGAATAAATAAAGCAAGTCTCTGCACGGATTATTTGACATTAAACCTTCATGCTGATGTTGCGTTTGGCTGCTGATTTGTTTTGATTGATAGTTTTTGGTCCATTGGTAATTTGTTTTGTCTTAAAGACTCTGCTTCGTCCACAGATGGATTGATCATGAAATTTTAAGATGATTAAAAATATTATCTGTAGAGGCAAAATCTCTCTCTATATATATGTATATGTATGTGTATTTGTGTATATATTTCGCCCCTGATCTCTGATCTTGAATTTTCACATGAGCGCCTCAAACAACACCTCAAGTGAAACTCTTGGAAACAGGAGGACAGAGGCGGACAGATGCTGAATTTAATTGAATTTATGTGAATCACTTAAACGTTTAATCTCATGTTTGGGACCTACTGAATAAAATGACCCCCCCCCCCTCTAAAAAAAAAGAAATCAGGAAGGAGGCACTCAGTCTGCTCTGAGGAGAGGCGCAGCACCAATTTGTCCGTCTTTACTCTCGATCGTCTGAGATCGTGGATAATTGGCTGATAAACTTGTGCTGCTGTCTGTTTTTTCTCTTCTTCTTTTTTTTAAATTTCCCAGCAGTGGAGCAGACAAAGGCGGGAGCGCAGCGGACAAAAGATGCGTTGTGGCTGCCGTCGAAATATGAACCACCATTTTGATAGTCATAGCCTGTAGACCGACATTTCCTGTCGGTACTAGAATGGCTGTACAGCCTACACGGCTTCTGCAGAGGCAGAGAGCGGACTGGTGCGTGCTGACAGGAGGCAGCCGCACATACAGACACGTTGCTGCTTCTGCGGCTCTCCATATTTGGCTGCGAGTCGGTGAAAAGTGGGTCTGCAGGAGCCGCAATGGCGACAGCCGTACATGAATAAACAGAGCTGGCTCTGTGAGAACATTATTGGCTCTCTGGTTTCTGGGCAACTGCTGCGCACAGCTCGCTGTCCTACTTACCGGGCGACATTTTCTGCTCAAGGTGGCTGCTCAGATGTTTTAAAAACAACAACAAAAAAACCCACAAGCGAGAAGATGTGAAGCCGTGTGGCTTTGACCTGCAGCCTGAATCAGACTTGAGCGCATGATTTGAATTAGAAAGCATTATCTACAACAGCAAACGCAACCGCAGCTCCATGTCTAATTTCTCACCAGAACCTCTTTCAGGTTTCTTTAAAGCGCGGGGGGGCTATTTGTGTTTTAATTGCTCTTTTGAAAGGAATGAGCCCCCCCTTTTTTCTTTTTTTTTAAAGATGCTTAAGGAAAATTTTAAAAAGGGAGAAAATGAAGAGCCTTCACTTCTATTTTGAATCCCTTCACATTTCTGTCGTTTCTGGGGTGTCGCAGGCCTCCAGCGGTCCACGCGCAGGGATTTAAATTAGAGAAGTGATCCCTGCTGCTCGCGCACTCCTGCGAGGCTGCACTGCTGAGATGAAACCGACACTGTGTGCAGGCTGCTGCTGGGTACGATGATAAAGGGGGTATGTGAAACATCACACTTGGTCTATAAATATGTTCCCCTGTTAAAACATGTTTCAGTTTCCTATAGCTGCTGATGCATGACTGGCTCACAGGTTCAAAGCCACGGAAGGCCTGTAGAGAGAGCCTCACGCATAGAGAGAGCGAGAGAGATTTCAAAAGCCAGGGTGGAAAAAAGCTGCATGAAATATATAAGATATAGGAAAATATCGACTAAGCTTCACTACTCTGAAAACAGAGTATGCGTTTATTTGCCAGTTTCAGTCGACCGCACACCTTCCTGTGGGCCTGTTAGGATTCATCGAGCATTTGAGACTTCAGCAGGTCACCTCAGCTCCCCAAAATGGCCACAAATACATTTCCAGTTCATCCACAAATAAATGATTCCTGGATAAATAAATAGTAACTCATAATCTATTGCCCGCTTTAGCTGAAAGTCTGGTTAATTAAGTCTATATTACAAGATAATTAAGGGGCCATTTCCAAAACGAAATCTCAGAGAAGGAGGGGGAATGGCCTGAAATGTTCGATAAAGGTTTATGTGAGAGTGTCATTTAGACCGGAAGTGAGCTCATTCTAGTAAAAATGCCAGCAGATTACCTCCTCATTATATGCCTCACCTATTGTGCCTGCAGTCTTCCACCTACGTAGGTGGAAAAAATGCATTTGTTTATCAAAGAGGTTGATTTTTTTCCTCTCGGAAAATCAAGAAACTGATATAGTTGGTCTCCTAAAAACTAACTCTAAGTTGGCATTAATGTCAAGATTACAGGGCAGCTAGTTCGCCCCCCC